TAAACTCTTCATTTAAAAACACTACAGCGGCTCATATCGTCCAGATCTAACGTTTTATATTATATTTTAATTTTTTAAATATAGTAACTTATGTAAATTTTAATTTTTAAAATCTTAAGTACAGTAACTTATTTAAATTTTAACTTTTTAACTGTAGTAATTCAATCTATATTTTAACCTTTTACTCAAGTAATTCATTTAAATTTTAACTTTTAACCATAATAACTCAACTCATGTATTTAAAAAAAAAAACATGTTTTGCGCGAGACAAGCTAGTGTAGCAATATTAATTTGAATTGCTTATGCTCATAAATTAGAAATGTATAACAACAACTCAGATTATTTAGATCCGATAGTTTATATTATATTTTAATTTGTTAACTACAGTAACTCATTTAAATTTAAATTTTTAACTTTTTAATCATGATAACTCATTTAAATTTTAATCACAGTGACCCATTTAAATTTTAACTTTTTAACCATAATAATTCAATCTATATTTTAGCCTTTAACCAAGTAGCTCATTTAAATGTTAACTTTTAAGCACAGTAACTCAACACATGTAATAAAAAATTATAATAATAAAAGAAAGTCTCTTGCTTGAACTCCTCACTTACAAAAGTAAAAACAACGGTCCAGATCTTTAAAATTTGGCAGTTTATATTATATTTTAATTTTTTAAGCAAAGCAACTCATTTAAATTTTAATTTTTAACCTTTTAATCACGATAATTCATTTTAATTTTAACTTCTAACCTTTTAACCACAATAATTTATTTAAATTTTAACTATTTAATATAGTAATTCAATTTATATTTGAAAAAATTTCATCCACACCCCCTACAGATAGGCCTAATTTAAGTGACACCCCTTCTCGATTTTGAAATTTCACTGACACCCCTTGTCAATCTTGGTCGGGAAACGAACGTGACAAAAATGCTTACCCATTCTCACCTCTTTCGCCACCGTCGTCATCCGATGACTGACACCCTCATCACATCACCTCCACTCTCTTTCTTTACCCCCCCCCCTCTCTCTCTCTCTCTCTTTCTCTCCACAAACCCCTTCCATCCGTGTCGAGATAGGAACAAAAATATATCAAATTGATTTGGGCGTTTTGTGATGGGTGTTGATGCAAGGGTTGTGGTGGTGGTTATGTGAAAGCTGATTGTCAACGATGCGTGTGCTGGAGTGTTAATATGGGGTGGCTAGCCAGTACTTGTTAATATTGTTAGAGATGGGCTGGAGTGTTCATGGCCCTATTTTGGATTTTTGGTGAAGATCAAGGAGATTTTGGGGAGAATGAATTCCCTGCTTTTTCATGTGTATAGAGAAGCGAATGGGGTGACTGATAGCTTGGCTAACAGGGCTGTAAGGGATCATTGTTCTTCAGATTTTTCTTGCTTTAGATCGTTGCTGAAGATGGTAATTTTTTTTTTGACTCAACTATTGTGTATAGGGTTGATGTTGCTACCTTAATTGTCTGAAGTAGAATTTCACAAATATGAAGTACTGAGGAATTGTGAACTTACTTTTATTGAATTTGATTTGACTGCAGCTCTATGAAGACGATGTATGCCTTTGCCTATTGGATAGAAATCCGCTAAGTCATGGGTAAGGAATCATGTTAAGGGTTCGATTAAACTCTGTTGAGGTGCCCTTGTTCTTTCGATGTTGGGTATTCACAGTTTATCTCCAAAATCTATTGAAATAATGCAATAATGGGTCAGAAAGATAGTCGTGTGAGTGCAAGGTCTTGCTTTGGAAGTAGAGTTTTTATTTTTTGATAGTTTTGAAGGATTAAAGCATGGTGTGTATAGGGATTTTTCTTTTTGTTTCTTGTAATTCTTTGGTTATTTCAAATAAATTTTTTTGATTTTTTTAAAAAAAGAATTTGTTGTATATTTGTTTAGCTGGTTAGAGGTGGTGTCGAGGTGCTGGTGTTGCGGAGACGAAGGTGCATCAGAAGTGGTGTGAATAAGAAAAAGGTAAAATTGGTATTTTAGAAGAAAAACAAGATGACATCATCACTTTTTTAGTTGTCAGTAACGGTTTGTCGTGGTAGGGGATGTAGTTGAAATAAATATATGAATTATAAGGGAGTGCAGTGAAATTTCATAATCGGGAAAGGGTGTCACTGAAGTTAGGCCTATCTACAAGGGGTGTGGATAAAAGTTTTCCTTTATATTTTAACTTTTTACCCAAGTAACTCATTTAAATTTTTTTATTTAATCGTAGTAACTCAACCCATGCTTTGCACGGGACATGAGACACACTAGTGTAGCAATAGCTGAACTAATCTGTCCAGACTTTCTCTTGATTCCTGGTTTATCAATCGTTCTCGGCTATGTACGTCCCTTGCCCTGTTCCTTCTTCTTTTCTTTCGTTCTGGATCCCTCGAGTTCGAGATGATTATTTAATTTCTAGACTTTTTAGCTTTTGTTACTTTAGGAATCGAGGTCTTACCTTGTCCTCTCCACTACCAGAATCTTCGTTTTTGGTTGTTGGTGTCTTGACCACTGGGCCCTTAAGGATTGCTTTACTCGTGTTCCCCTTCTTTATAGTTCTTTCAAACTTCCTTTCTCTTGCCTAATTATGTCTGCCTCTTCTGGAGCTACAGCCTCGTATGTTTCCCTCATGGGTGATAGGTCCCCAGATGTAGAGGAGGATGACTTGGGGGATGTTGGTGATGAAATAGAAAATTTTTTTGGGGTTGATGTCGTAGAGGGGCAGAGTTGTCTCTGACCATACCAAGGTCTCCTTCGAGTTCTAAACGATCTCAAAAAGGAAAGACCAAAAGGATAGAGCTAGACTTTCAGGTAGTGCTGAGGGTTTTGGACCCTTTCCTCACATTTCAGACCTCATTGGACATAGTGAGGTTATGCCTCCTCTTATGAGTGTCTTGTTCACAAGGTTTGGTTTTTCCAATGGCATGCGTTACTGGATTCCTTCTGTAGGTATTAAGTATGATTCTGAGGTCCCTGGGAAGGCTTGTTTTTTTAACCTCTTTAGAGAATGGGCTTAAGTTTCCTGTACATCCCTTCATCAAATCTATCCTTCAACATCTGTTTTGGTTAGATCTCTCCCAACTTCTAGGGAGTCTTACTGGGCCTCCTTGTCTTTTTCAAAAAAAAAAAATCAGCACCCCTTCGGTTCCCTTGCTCATGAAATTTTTCAACGTTAAGTTCCAACCTGATGGATTTTTGTACATCTCAAAACGGGTGAAGACCCCAGCTTAGATTACTGACATGCCCAGCTCTCACAAGAATTGGAAGAAACTATTCTTCTTTGTATCAGAGGAGTGGGAGTTTGATCTGAGCAATGCCAATGATACCCTTCTTGTCCCACGCTCTTGGTCAGGTCCTGATAACCTTGGTGAGTCCTTATTTAGGGCAGGCTCAACTTTCTTCATTTTATTTTTCTTTTTGCTGACCTTATTCCCTTGGGTTGCTTTAGGTATCCACCCTGAGTTAGGAGCTGAGGATAGGCTTGCTTTGCTAGGGCATGAAGCTGGTCGCCCGAAGAAGTATTCTAACTTGATCAAGCATTATGTGCTTACCAAGCCAGGGTTCAGCCCTCCCGAGGTGACTATAGAGACTCCTATTCCCATTTTTGTTGCTGATGTGAAGGAGGTTGCAGGTAACTCTTTCTCCCTTCTATCCTTAACTTTTATTTTACTTATTCCTCCTTTCTGATCTGTTTGCTTTGGGTTTCTAGGTTCTTGCTCAATTGCTTTAGGTGCGAAAGCTTTGAAGGCGAAGGTTGCCCTGTTAAGGAAGAATACGAGTGGGAAAAAGTGCAAGGTAGAAGTTGGATTAGGAAGCAACTCTTCCCCTCTTGACAAAGTGCAGAGGACAGAGGTGCCCCCTGCTTCTTCCACCCTCCCAAGTGGTTTCTACTCCTCCACCGAGCTCATCGAAGGTCGCACGGATCTTAGTCTCCCAAGAGACCTTACCTTCCTCTACTGAAGGAGTTCTTGAGCAAGCTAGGGCTTCAACATCCCCTTCGTTGGTAGAGGTCGAGGGGGACTTTTGAGTCAATTACCCATATCATGCGTGGGTCTCCTGCTGGTGGAGGATGTGAAGATTGAGAAAGGCAAGGGTTCACTTATCGATAATACGAGGCTTACTACTAAGGCCATCGCCTCGATAATTCTTGAGTCCAACATCTAGAAGGTTGCCGCAATGCCCTTCTCCTTTTGTGTTACTACCTCCTTGTATGGTGCTACTTCGATAAGCTTCTATTTCTCCAAGTTTCATCCTGCATGGTTACTTCATACTGATTCTAGCCTTTGGTTGTATTTTCCTCAAGCTAGCCATTCATGTGAGCACTCTGACAAGTAGGATTAGGACTTTGGAGGGCTCAGTCAAAGCATTGAAGGCTTCTGAGCTCAAGGTTGTCGAGTTGGCTTTCTCTAATGATGACCTCAAGGCTCAGGTGCAGGACCTATAAGCACAGGTAGAGAGGTTGTCTTTTGCTAATAAGGATCTGGAGGCTGAAAAAGGAAAAACTGAGGACGAGGTCAAGAAGACCAAGGAAGAGCTCAGGTTGAAATCTGGCGAATGGGTTCAAACTCGCAAAGAAGACTTCAAGGCTTTTGAGTCTTATGAGGCCATGAAGAGAGAATACAACATCTTGGCTAAAGTAAACGACACTCTGCGGAGAGAGATTGAGGTTGAGAGAACTGTCTTTAAAAAGAAGGATGCTCTGATTGCGAAGTTGGAGGATGAAGCTACCACAAAGTGGGCCACTAGGTATCTTGCTTTCTAAGATCAAGCTATGCAGAAGTATCCAGACCTGAATTTTGAATTTGATCCCCCTTCGGATAAGGAAGAGGTGCCAAGCATTGAGAAAGAGGCTGAGGTTAGGTCCCCTCTACTTCTAAGCTTGCTCCCAAAGGTGCTGAGGTATTTGTCTCTTCAACCAAGGTCCTTGCCACGTGGTTTCGTCTGCTCCAATTGTCTCTGTAGCTATTGATCCTATTCTAACTTCTGTTTCCAGGATTGCTGAGTTGTTTATTGTTCCTAATGAACCTACTCTAACTGATGCTCCCGAGGCTCCTGTGTCGTCTGAGGCTCCAACTGACCCTGCTCCAACAGATGCTCCCCAAATTTCTGAGCTACATGAGGCTCCAGTTGTCCGTGTTTCAACTGATGCTCCCAAGGTTCTTGAGATGTCTGAGGCTCCAGCTGACCAGACTGTAGGGATTTAAGATTCCTCTTTTATTTTGTTTCCTTTCTTGTAGATGGCTCTATAACTGTTTATTTTGAGAAATGAGAAAATGTTTTGTCCAATGTTCTTGAATTTTTGCTATTAAATTGATGTAGTTATGATTGTTGTATTGTGCTCTTGCATTCTTTGTGCACTAGTATTCTTTTTGTGCTCTTGTATTCTTTCTATTCTCTTGTATTCTTTTTAGTTTTTTGCATTCTTTCTATTCTCTTGTATTATTTCTATTCCCCTCTGCCCCTTGCTTCGGGGAGAATTTAGTTCTTTTTGAAGTATGAGGCCAAATTAATTAGGTCAAGAGTCCGCCCTTGGTTTAAGCCGAGGTGCTAGCTAGAAAGATCTTGTGGTTTGAAGAGCTCACTTTCTAGTGAACTGAAGAGACCATCCCTGTGAGTTGAAGAGCTCTGCTTATGTTAGGCTGAAGAGCTCTACCTAGTGAGCTGAGTTGCTTGTGAACTAAGTCACTTGTTCCTGAGCTCTACCTAGTCTGAGCTAAGCTTAACAGAGTTAAGTTGCTCCTTTAGCATGAAGCACTGACTTTTTTATCATTATATATGCCCACCCACCCACTTTCTTAAAACACCTCCACCATCATGATTTTGGAAGTTTAAGGAGCCATCTCCTCGTCTTCGCGAGTTTCTTGCTTCCTTAAAACTCGGGATTTTCTTATTGTTTCCATAAAACTTGGGATTTCTTATTGCCTTCAAATCTTGGAATTTCTTCTTGCCTAAAATCTTGGAGTTTTCTTCTTCATGTTTCGCATGCTCCCCGAGTCTTTTTTTTTTTTTTTTTGTGTTCCAACTACAAGCTGCTGCTTTTCTGATTTCCTGAATTTCTAGAAAAATTCTACAGTTATAACATTTAATATAATTTAAAATTTCTAAAAAACTTTACTAACTACTCTTTTTTTTAAAAAAAATAATTTTATTAATTTTTATTTGTTATTTGTTAGTTACTAATTTTCCTAATTTATTGTATAGTTATTTATTTACAATTATGTACAATTATTCCAAAATTATACATCATTTGATCATATTGATTCAGAGTCAGAACTTTTTGGATCATTAATACTAGTGACACGATTAATTTTATTTTTTACATATCTTGTTAGCATAGGGGTAGAATAGGATAACGTCTCAGGATACTCCTTACTTTGCCCATACCTAATCCACCAGAGACGATCTAACGCTCGACCTGAAATTGGTTCTGCATACTGATTATATTGTCTCAAATGTTCTAAACAACCACATCTTACACAACCACTGAGACGCTTTGATCTTCGGCATTTAGTAAATGTACTTGTTCCGCATAGGGGTCGTGGTTAACTTTCAAAAATTTCTAAATTTCTGACTTTTCTAGCTTTTCGCATGATTAATGAAATTATATCTTTTGGAAGATAATACAGTAGAATTAAACTTAAACATAATAGTTTCTTGACCATTGTACAATTGTTATATATATATATATAACAATTGTTATTGTTAAAAACTGACTCACTATATGGTTCTTTAACGTCTACCAGTCATAAAGATGAAATTTTTTTTTAATAAAACATTAATACATTAAACACAAATATAAGTACATTTATACCTAAGTAAATTTACACATAATTAAATTTACACCCATTCCTCCCCAACTTAATTTAGACATTATCTGCAATGTATAAAATAGTGATAATCAATACTGATAATAAAAACCAACAATTTGTTCTTTTTTAGCGATTGGGATATCTGGCTGTTACTCAGAAGATTTAATCTGTCAAATAAATTACAATTAATTAGTAATATTATTTATAATTAAACAACAATATACTTTTTAGAGCACATAAACAGGATCAAAAAGTTGTACTGAAATTATATGTTGAGTAAATCCGTAATAATATGGCTTAAGTCTTTGACCGTTTACTTTAAAAACATTTTCAGTTAACGGATTTTTAATTCCAATTGCTCCATAGTCAAAACTTGCTTGACAATATATGAACCTGTCCATCTCAATCTTAATTTTTCAAGAAATAAATGAAGTTTTGCATTATATGTAACACCCCGCATTTTCTTTTATATATGTATATAGATATATAGTAAATAATTGTGGTAAAAATGTGGATATGTGTAGTGATGTGTGTTTGAATTTGGTAGATTGGAAAAGTAGAGATTTAAAATGTTAGTGAAAATAATA